TGTGTGTGTGTGTGTGTGTGTGTGTACATTGCTCAAAAAAATAAAGGGAACACTTAAACAATGCACGCTAACTACCGATCTTAATCAATGAAATATTCGCATTGAGTACTTTGTTCTGTACAGAGTTGAATGTGCTTCACAAAAGTTTGATTTACTTGGACTTAGCGTGCATTGTTTAAGTGTTCCCTTTATTTTTTTGAGCAGTATATATTACATTTTTCCCCTCCTGTCTTAATAATTTTTGCATTAAACAGTATAACTATTTAAAACCATAATGAATAAGGCTAAAAACTCTTGGAAACCATAAATCCACTTGTGGACATTGCCTGTGCAAAGATACATGCTGCTAAAATTAAGTGGAGCAAAGTTACAGAGACAGAGTCAAGAAATATTTACAGAGTAAAGAAATAATTTAGCGTTTTGTCTTTCTGCACAGGACAGACCATGATGGTATCATTAATAAATAAATCTTAAGTTTTTACATCCAGAAGTTATTTTCTTATTATTGAATGTTCTTTTGAAAAATTACCCAAACATTTATTTTTCACCATATATATATTATATGAAATAATGCAAAATTATATTCGACTTCAGTTGGACTGTATTCACTCAAAACCAAGTAAAAAATTAAAAAAAAAAAACTTTCAACACACTTTATAACCTATTTTGGTATCAGTTTTCACTTGCTTTATAAAAATATCAAAAAAGTTTCCTTTACAGATTTGCAACAAACCCATTTTGTACAGTTTGTTTACTTTCTGATTCAACTGCTTGACGTTTGAACTGTTTGGTGGATGTAAAAATAGTTTCCATGAGCTTTTAGCCAAGATTCGTAGCTTTCTATTGACAACAAACATGTCCAGGTTCCGCTTATAGATCTTAAGTTAACATAAGTTGAAAGATATAGAAAATGGGAAATGCTGTTTTGCACCTGGTACCAGGGGCAAATACTAAAACTTGTGTGTTTTGGTGGGGTAAAAGTTGTAATATCTGCAGCAGAGTGTTGGTCTTTTAGAACTTTACTTTAATCCTTAAGAAAATATCCAAACTGTAACCAAAACATGAGCACTACCAAGGTTTTCACAGTTTATGTCACCCAGTTTACTTTTAAACAGATCCAGTAGTCATTCTGACAAAGTATCTGTTTTCAGCTCGTAACACACACACCTGTTTTTCTCAGCCAGTCCACAGTCATCATTTACAGTTTAAAGGTCTAAGCAAGTTAACATTCGGAACATCAGAGCCTGCTGAATGCTGCTTTATGCTTTGCCGTCTGAAGCGCTGTTAAAAACCCTCAAAGAAAAACATAACCAACCAAAATTATTAAAGCAAAACAAACAAAACACTGCTCATTTTACTTAGGCACATGTCAGGGGAAACAAAGTAATGACACAGAAAATACAAAAAACAAAAAGAAAGGATGTCAGCTTGGAAACGGTGCAAAAATAACTCCTATAATAACTCTCACTCAGGTGGAGCAAAGGAATGAAAAAGACTTTGGGAACAAAGAGTTGCCATTTTTGGCAACCCCTCCCCCCCCACCCCAAACAACCAACCAAAACCCAAAACAAAAATATTAACAACATTTAAAAATCCACACGAGTATCACAGTTCCAGACAAAATGAGACAGCAGTATTATTTCTGTCAGACAGCAGTAGAAATGCTGCAGTGTGGGATTTGTAGTCCTGTTTTAACAGTCAGACATCTTAAATCTATTTGAAGACAAAATGGAAGATTACTACAAGAATGAACATGCTCCCTTTGACATAAGTGTTATAGACAAGACGAAGTTTGTAACTATGCTGCGTTGTGTTAGAACCGCACCAATACAGTGATTCAAACAATGAAAAAAAAAAAATGCTAGTTTGTAGGTTGAGAAGTGTGTAAATGTACACACCTCACAATTCCATAATAGGTCCTTGGTGGTAGGTCTACACAAGACAAAAAGGGACAAAGCTGACAAAGTCTACATCAGGATAACAGTTCCTTCAGAAACCTGTCTGGTATCAAAAGAACCCAACACAAACAGAGTGGGTACCATGTCTGATCTGGAACCACTACACTGCTGCTAATCGTCTCCTCCGATGCATACAAAACCACCTTATCAGCATAATGTCTGTTCGTGACAGGATTCTTTTTTTCTCCACATCTTTAAACGCAACAGTTATCCTTAAAAGTGCCAAGTTGACATGCATCAAAAATCATAACTGACTGCAAAACAAACAAACAAAAAATAGGTTTTGGTGTCCCAGTTCAGAAATGGTTCATATAGCAGTCCTCAGCAAAGAGAATTTAAGTATAACATAATCATTGGTCTTTTAGGAGGATCCTTTGTGAGGAAACATCTGTGGGCCTGGGAGGTGACGAGCAACCAGAAGATCCTAGCAGTAACGCTGAACATGTGAGTCAAACAGGGATCCCCATGCGAAGCTTCTTCTTCTTCACCGTCTTCAGACCAGGGAGTCGACGGACATCATCTTCATCTGACTCATCCATCTCATCGTCTGCTGAGAACAGGATCTAAAAAAGAAAGATAAGGTTGAAGTCAAAAATTTTTTTTGGGGGTGGGGGGTGGTGTAAAGCTTTTTTTGTGCATAAAGCAAAGCGGTCTATGAAGTTACGTCCTGTTAAGAGTGTCAGAAGAATGGTCATGACTCCTGGGGCTAAATATTGCCTCCTAAGGATCTGCAAGAAGCTATAAAAAGCTCATCTATTTGTGGGCACATGATTGTGACTGAATACCAGGCAGCTCTCATCAGTGCTGGTAGTAAACACAAAACAAAACAATGTCCAGAATGGAAATATCTTGAAGAATTGAGATGTATGAGTTTAAACTATGTTAAAAGGAAAAACAACATAAAAAATAATAAAAAGGTGTATTTTAACCTAAAACACTATAAAAAATGTACTAGCTAAAACTGTAAAACAAAACAAATCAAAGAAAATTATACTGTGTATTACAGTTAAAAACATTTAATCATGTTTTCAACAGAGTAACACACACCAGAATATTCCCTTTTATTTTGGAGGAGACTGCCCTCCAGTGGCAGCAATGCATTTTGACATGCACTGACAACAGTAAGAGTCTGCCGTGTTCGACTCTCAGTTCGGGAACAAATTTGTTTTTCTCTGGAAGTGTGCAGAGCTACATTACAGCAACCTACCGTATAAAACAAAACTTAAAAAGTTAACATTAAGACATTCAAAGATTCAGTCACACAACACAACAAATAATATTTGTTAATTTCTTGTACCACTGACATGTCAGGGTCTACAAAAAAAATTTAGTGTATATGATGAAATTTGGTACATTTATATGAAATGCTTAATGTGTATCAGCCCCCTTTTTTAACCTAAAAAATGTGGCTGATTAACCTTAACCTTTTTAAATATTAACCTTTAAATATGTTAACCTTTAACCTTTTTAAATATGTGAAAAATAAGGATGACATACATTTTTCTCTTTTATACATAAAAAAACTGATTTGTCTAAATTGGCGTTTTAGAACAGCCAAAAGACTTGTGATCACATCAAATTAAATACTGCTTTCATGAAAAATAACCAATAGTAAAGGGGGGAAAAATTCGAGCCAGCCAGGAGTCGAACCTAGAATCTTCTGATCCGTAGTCAGACGCGTTATCCATTGCGCCACTGGCCCGTGTGAGTTCAGTGTAGCAAGCAGCGCCACTCGCGGATGGTCCCTGCCGCTCAGCTATGAGGTAAGACGACTGTCAGAAAGAATTGTACATGCAAGAGTCTAAATTTGCACATTTAAGTCAATAACCGTGCATAAATTTTAGATTTGTATTTGTATTCATGAAAAATCAAATGTTTTCTGTGAGAATACAAGTTTAAAAGTTGCAAATACAAGTTACAAAGTCACAACTTCGCAACATTTCAAGTACAAATCACAAATTCACAAGTACAATTCTTTTTCCCCAAGGAGCTGTCAAAATAACAGACATTATGCATGGAACACTGAAAAGATCGATTGCTAACAGTAATTAAGCCAGACCACTGCCTCCTTTGGGACCAGACAGACTCTTTGTAAATGCAACAATGTGCTGAAGGGAAAAGCACGTGTGTGTGTGTGTGTGTGTGTGTGTGTGTGTGTGTGTGTGTGTGT